TGTTTTCTCACTGCTGTGTGAGAGCCCCCTGTTTAGCCGTAGTTAGTCGAACTACGTTTGCTCTGATCTTCCATGCTGTGTGGAAGTACGTAGGCACAGGACGCGATGTCCTGGCGAGCAACCTTTCCCCCGTTTAGACGTAGGTAGTCGAACTACGTTGACTCTGACTTTCCCATTGCACGAGGGAGTACGTAGGCCCAGAACACCGTATGTTCTGTCGAGTCCTGTCCTTTTATTTTCTTTTCAGACTGACCATTAGCGTAGATAGATGAACACACCCTTTTCCTTATAAACACCAAGCGTGGATCCCATCGAGTACGATGGACGTGAGGGGTGCTAATACCTTCCCCTTGCGTAACCGACTCCCGAATCCAGGTTTTGGTTGCGATGACCATACCTTTTCCCGTCTTTGCGAGGTTTACTTCGAGCGTTTCCTTTCCCGCTCTGAGGGATAAATAACGCACGGTGGCGACTCTCCTGTCAAGCCGGCGCCGATTTTCGCAGTAGCGACAAATATTAGTAGGAATTTAATAGTTTTTAATAGAGATTAGTAGAGTTTTATTAATGTTAGTTAATATAGGTTTAATCAGATTTTAATCATTTTTAGATTCAAATCAGGGTTTAATTAGGTTAATTGAATTTGTTTGAATCAATTAGGATAGTTTAATCTGCATTTAGTTTAATTAGGATTAGTCACTAGTTAATTAGGATTAGTCTTAATTAGGTTAATTGGATTTAATATTTTTGTTAATTCAGTTTTTAAGTTTTTCTGATTAATTTTCGTATGGGCCCAGAGGGGATTTTTTGGAGGCCCACTTCAATTTTCAGTCCAGTCTTTTTGTTAGTTTTTTGTCCAGAGTTTGCAAGTGAAACTTGTCACTATAAAGTGATGCCACACGTCCACGCGAGGACCCACCAACACACCACTCAGAACTTCCCCAGAACCGGACACGCGTCCCACTCACCCTCTCCCTCTGCCAGCGCATCTCTCACACGTGTCTCTCCCAACCAGCACCTCTCACCACGCGTCCAATCCCCAGACCTTCACCTGAGCCTCACCGGATCCCTGCCGCCGGCCATGCATCCACCCTGAACTCCCACCGCCGGCAACCCCAACCAACTCCGGCCGCCGTCCCTCACCGGAAACTGCAAACTTGCAGAAAATCCCCAGGAATCACCTCATTCTTCTCCGATCTTCCTCTATCCACCTTCATCATCACTCGCCGGAGAACTCAATCCAGTCCACCAGAATCTTCATCCGTGACCGGAAAATACAAAGGAATCCTAGAAAATCACTTAAGCCTTCATCGTGTTCATCTGGATTTTCCAGAAATTCACCCGTTGTTCTTCATTTTCTTCAAGATCCTCAGCAATAATCTCCAGAAATCCGCCTGATATTTGACTGTCTTCAACGAGCAAGAACAACTCACATTCGTCATCTTCAATCTTCCCTCCGTTTCCAGATCGTGAGGACACCCGAGATTCTCAGAATTTCTCCAAGATCTTCAGAACGCTTCAAACGCAGTTTTCCAGAACGAAGTCCAACCTCCATCGTTCTTCAAGATTTTTTTTCCAGCAATCTTCAACTCCTTCAAGCAACTCTCGATTTTTCCAGAAAGGTCTCCTGCTCTCTTCTCCAGATCGTTCGAGCGACCAAGTCCCAAGGAACCTCCAGATCCTAGTCTCTCGCGGCGACCTCCTTTGAAGCTTCAAGAACTCCACGAATTGGTTCTTGATTCGTCTCCAGGTATGCATTATCTAAGTGTGAAGCTAGTTCTTCTGCTTGAGCGTATGGATTTAGATGATTTCGTTTCGTTGAGATTAGGATTCTTTAGTTTGTTTGCTTGTTTTTGTGGGTTGATCTGAGAGGGTTTGGTTGAAGGATCTTGAGATTAGGTTAGAGGAGTGGCAGAGAGAGGATGAGGGAACGGCTAGGTTAGTTTGGGTGAACAGTAACGTGAGGATGGGGAAGGAAGTAGGGTTTTGTTGTTAGTGTTTTGGACTAGGGTTTCAGATTGGGTCAAAGCCCAATCTCGTTTGCTGAAGCTTACCTCCAATTACTCGTTCACCCCCTTGTGTGAAAGCTGAGTGACGAATTGGATTGGGCCTTAGGCCCCACTGCTATCCACGCCCCCCAGATTCTCAGCCCAATAATTAGATAACTAGGCGTGTTTGCTGTTCTCACCCCCCTCCCCTTTAATTCAATTTCATTTATTTTTATTTCTTTTATATTTTCTTGCATATTATAAAATTCATAGAAAATAGGAAAATTAGTATTTTTTAATTCTTGTTTTTTCTACATGTTCATAATTCTGTCTAGAAATAAATAAATAAATAAAATTCCCATTTTATTTTCTTTTAATATTTTTAGTATATTTTTCATTTAAATAGTTTTTTATAATGTTTAGTTTGATACTCAATTTTGTAGAATTTCTTTTAGGACCTTCCCTTAGTCTTTTTAATTCATTCTTTTTGGTGTGATTAGATATTGAATCATAGTTCCCCATAGGATTTAATTCTTGATTTTTAGATTAAAATTTGATTAGTTTAATTAGGTTAGAATTAGGGTCATAATTAGGGTTTAGGTTATGCATAGGTGAAATAGTTCATTTTCTTTAGAGAGTTTTGTCTTGATTTTTGGGTAGGGGCATATGGGGATGTTATGGGTAGGTGTTGTAGACCCTTGTGAATGAGTGTTAGATTCTTCCCCCTTGCTTTAGTATTTTTAGGCATTTTCTGAATTTGACTGATTGTATTGACTATATGTTTGACATTTGTCTGTCTCTGGGGTTTATTTTTGGGAATTTGTTGTGGGGCTTAGTTTGTTTTGAAGATCTTGTTGAAGAGCATGATGGAAGAGAAGATTGTAGATCAAGACCCAGAGACCCAGAGCTTGGAGATTATTCCCTGTCTGTGAGGTTTGAGATCCTGAAGTTTGAGGGGAATTCATGGTACTTTCCTGAGGAAGGCACTATGAATGACTTTCATTCTTTCTTCTCACCTCTTTCTTAAGTATCCAATGATGTTGGAGCCGGCATGTGAGTTTAATTTCTCCTGAGGAGGAATGTAAACTGATCACAGTCGTTGAGCCACATGGGATACAATTCCTAAGTGGAAGCCTCCTAGTACTTTCCTGAGGAAGGTCCTATGGGTCTATTCACTTGGTTCCACTAGTTCATCTAGGACTTCTCAAGTATCCAATGATGTTGGAGCCAACATGTGAGTTTAATTTCTCCTGAGGAGGAATGTAAACTGATCACAGTTGTTGAGCCACATGGGATACAATTCCTAAGTGGAAGCCTCCTAGTACTTTCCTGAGGAAGGTCCTATGGGTCTATTCACTTAGTTCCACTAGTTCAGGTAGGATTTCTTAAGTATCCAGTAATGTTGGAGCCTTCTTGTGAGTTTAATTTCTCCTGAGGAGGAATGTAAACTGATCACAGTGGTTGAGCCACATAGGATATGACTCCTGAGTATAAGCCTCCTAGTGCTTTCCTGAGGAAGACACTACGAGTCTGCCTACTTAGCTCCCTTTCTTTGGTAAGCTTGCTTTGAAGCTTGAAGACTGGGATTGATTCCTTTTAGTTAGGGTTTTGCTTTAGGGCTTTGCTTAGATTTGATCAGGATTTTGCTAGGGTTAGGATTAGAGATTAGATGTAGATCCTTTCTTTCTCAAGCATGTGGTTTGTTTGCCTGATTGCACTTCATTTCTTTTATCTGTATGATTGTAGTTTACTGTTTATTGCTTGATAGCATGTTGTTTATTTTTCAGTATGATTACTGTTATTTCATGACTGGCTTGAGGTCGAGATGAGCTTGTGGAGGCTGAAGCCCCACACACATTTCCTCCCTCACTTGCATTGCATGCATTTTACTGTTAAGCTGATGCTTTTGTCTGTTTTGGTGTATCATTGACATGATCCCTTAGGACTCTCATTTCCTTTGATAAGGATTTGATGATAGACTTTTAGGTTGAAACCTATGCATGACAACATCTAGGAGTTCCCTGTTCAAACCTCAACCATAGGATGAATCCATGGCATGATAACAGTAGGACTTGATAGTCTCCCTCCTAGTTGGGCCTGTTCTCTTCTCATCTCAAAGCAGTTTAAGATACAGTAATCATGAATGATTTCTTTCGTACGTTACGAGCCTTAAGCTATCTGAGATTGAATGTTTAGTATGGTACCCTTTGGGTGACATGCGACGCATTCACTCTCAGGTCATAGTCTTTAGTGCGGTTGAAATTGCAAACACAATAAAAAACGCTTCTTTCAGAAAATAACCCGTAGTTTCCCGAACTACGTTTGCTCTGATCTTCCATACTGTGTGGAAGTACGTAGGCATAGGATGCGACGTCCTAGCGAGCAACCTTCAACCTTTCCCCCATAACCCTTCGTAGGCCGAACTACATTGACTCTGATTTCTCATTCTCTGATGAGAATACGTAGGCATAAAGTGCGACGCTTTGCCGAGTCATTTTTCTTTTCTTTTTCAGCCAGCCTTGATAGGTAGATAGAATAAAACCAACCCGTCCAAGTAAACAAACAAGCGTGGATCCGTTGAGTACGACGGACGTGAGGGGTGCTAATACCTTCCCCTTGCGTAACCGACTCCCGAACCCAGACAATGGTTGCGACGACCTTGTCTTACCCTTTTTCGTCAGGTTTTTCCGATCGTTTCCTTTCCCGCTCTGAGGGATAAATAACGAAAGGTGGCGACTCTTCTGTCATGCCGGCACCTTATTTTCGCGCAAGCGACAACCTGCTTCCATTGCAAGGAAGAGAAGGAAAATTATATTAACGGACAAGAAGCTTAATAAACATACTGTCAACAAGGAGAATGAAAATGTTACATCATCGATGCCATTGATTCCTATTTCTACTTCATCTCAACTGGAGCATTCGATGCCTTTTCTAGAAATAGGTAACAACACTCATACTGCACCATCTAAGTGACATATCGGAGAATCTGACCAACAAAAATGCAGGAGATTTTGAATGCATTCTGGGGTCAATTTGTTTCACACTTTTCATTCCACGGGGCCCCGTGGTGTTCAATCACCGGTTCCCTTTCGCGCAACCCCTGATGTGCACCTTACACCTACACCTATCCATAGGGTATCAGCAAGCCAAGAACAAACATGTCTGCAAACAGGTCCCATATTCACTCAATGTGAACCACAATCCTTTGTTGCTTTTCATTTAACCGAGACACTTAGCAATATCCATGTCTCTACCGCTACAAATATCCGTTCACCTATCCACATTACTTCACGCACATCTCGAGGTATACCACCAAGCATATCATCCCTCCCACCAATATTTCCTGCAACAATTTCAAACTCACTATCTCCATATTACACTCCAGTTACATCTTACATTGTTGCATCCAACCCCAACCTACCCCGCAGTACAACTCAACTTAATAATATGGAACAATGTTCTACTACTCCACCTACTAACATTACACATGGAATGTACGATGTTTATTCTTCTAATGATGAAAATTCTGATTTGGATTCGAATAATGCCTGGGGAGATACATCTGATTCTGATGATCAAGCTTATGAGGAGCCCATTGACTCTTACCTACAAGGTTCTGTTAATTACACATCTATTATTATGTACTTACTAATCAATTGTCATCTATTATAAAACAACACCTAACATATCTCTTATGAATATAGAGTATGCTGATATCGGGGTCCCAATTTAGGAATGCCATCATTATAAGGCTTGTATGTGGTATCAAGAGTGCAAAAAAAGAATAGACATACTACGGTTGCAAAGTTTCATATATGCTACAGAAGTGGAAAGGTAGTCCTACCAGAAATGAAGAGTCCACCTCCACTGTTACATTAACTGCTCTATGATAGAACATCGAAACATAGTAAAAATTTCCAGGTCAACATTAGAACTTACAATGCTATGTTCTCCTTCACTTCTCTCGGTATGAAATTCGACACAACTTACTCCAAAGGCGTGGGTCCTCCTATGTTGTGACTTTATGGTCAAACTTGTCACAGAATCGAAACGATGCTCCCTGAAATGGGTGAACCTCCTCAGTATGCCCAGCTATACATTTTTGACACAAATAATGAGGTTGAAAACAAATTATATTTTTTTAGGTGAATCGTCGTGAATTCCATGTTATATTATAAATGTCTTGTGCTAACTAACAACATTTGGAATGTGTTTTATTAACTTTACTATTATTTTGATTCTGTAGGGATAATAAAAAGCTTGAAAAGGATATGGTAACCAGCTTGAAACAGATGTTGGACGAGAACAATGTTCAAGCAAAAGCATTTAGAATGGAAAGGGATATTTTGAAGGAGACTACCTTCCATGACTTGAAGTTGAAGCTCATTACAAGTAGGCCAGGTGACGATCACGTGTATAACACGCCCACAGTTTCGGAAGTCGTGGCTCAAATTGTTGGTGATATAGACTCTGCTGAACTGAGGGACATCATAATCCATTAGCGTGATGGTGGATTATATAGGATCGATAAGTTTCACCTGGCTTATCTTGATTACCAATACCCGTTGATTTTTACGTATTGGGAAGATGGTTACAGGGAGAATATACTTCACTGGTACAAACATGAGCAAACTGTCACCAAGCAGAACCGCCAAGCCATTAAGGATTGGCTATGCTTCCAACTACAGGAACGCATTGTTGAACCTACGACTTTACTTCATTTAAGGTGTCTATTCCAACAGTGTTTGGTTGACGGCTACATATGATGGAGACTGAGCGTCTTAATTGGTTGCGGAGAAATCAATCTAAATTGAGAGTTGGAAAGTATAGCAACATACAACGACAAGATGGTCTCGGTACTTTGCAACAAGGTAACAAGCAAGGAAAGCGTGTCATTTGTCCTTCTACATTTGTCGAGAGAAAAAAGTACATGGAGAAACTATATTTTGACGACATGACAATTTCAAGTAAATTGGGTTTTCCTGACCTTTTTATAACTTTTACCTGCAACCCAAATTGACCTGAAATCAAACGACATTTGGATCCCAAAAATTTACATGCGCACGACCGTCCTAATATTGTAGTATAAATCTTCAAAATTAAATTCGACCAACTTATGGCGATTGTTGTACCCCAAAATTTGCTAAGCCTTTTCTTTACTTGGTTCATGTTTCATTGCATTTTCATAGCATTAGCATTTTGCATATCATTGTTCATTTACAGGGGATTGAGAGAGGTGTGCATGGCAAGAGGAGATTTCCAAAGTTTCCAAGCCTAATCAAGAGGTCTTATTCAAGATATCAAGTGCTCATCACCATCAGAAGAAGGTTAAAGTTCTTTGAAAAAGCAAATGGATGAATATGGTTTACCTCCTATCTGGGAGGCCATGTGAGGTTCATCAAGTAATATTAAGTCCATGGTTATGGATGGAGAATATTATATAAGCTCATTGAATGTCTTAAGGGTCATTAAGAAGCTTGTTCAAGTTATTATATCAAGTGCAAGAAGCCACAGTCAAAGGTGGTGCAGTTAGGGTTCTCATCTAGTCAACCCTAAGTCAACTGGGAAGTTGAAGGGGATTAAGACTCAATTCCAAGTCTTTGTGATCATGGAATGTTGTGTTGAGGCATCTAATATGTTATTCCAAGATCAAATCAAGAAAAATCAAGAGCATGAGAAGTTGCTAAGCTAGGGTTTCTAAGCTTGTCAGTGTAAAATCCCCTATTTAGTGCCCAACTTCAAGACCACATATCTCAAGATACAAGCCTCATCTCATCTTGACCCCAACATAAAACTTGTAGAGCATGTTTCTAGCTTTCTTTTTAGTACTAGAACTCATCCATAAGGTTTCTAGAACTCAAGTTATGATATTGACAAGTTACAGGTCATCAGATGAATGTGATTTGGTCAACAAAAGTCAACAAACTTCAAAGACATTTTTGACCTTGAAGGATGTTTCTCCTTGTAACACCCCAAATTTAATCGGAATATGTTAATTAATTATTTAATTGAGAATATTCATGTTTCGGTGAATTTCCGGTGGTTTTGTGAATATTAGAAAAATGTGCATTTTCGGATACTTATTTGATTAATAGCATATAATATTAATTTATTAGTATTATTATTAATTAAATGGAATATAAGTGAAATAAGGGCAATTTGGGCATTTGAGGAAGTTAGTAAGGGTAATGAGGGAAAAGCCCAATGTGTGAGGCCCATGACTAAGTTAGACAAAATAGAGTTCTGAGAGGAAATTGGAATTCATTTGTGTTTAACGTGAAAGTTTGGTGTGGCCAGAGCTCTGAAGGAAAGGTTGGAGGCAGAAGGTCCCAAAGAGAAATCGTGAAAGCTGCGAATCGACTAAGGTATGGGGAGTATTTTTGTTCATGATTTTCCATGTATGCCTTTAGATGTATTCATGGTGGATTTAGGATTTGAGGGTTTCTGAGTTGAATTGGGGAAACTAAGAGATTTGATTATAGAACTCTGAGATTGTGGGTTATGGTATGAATCACTGAATATTAATGTGAGTTTGGAAACCAAAACCTTGGATTGTGATATGTTTGACCCTGTAAGAATAGGAATATTCAAATGTGAGTAACTCTGATGTACTCAGAGCAATTGCAGGAAATAGTGTGTTAGGCAGTGCAAATGTTGCCGGATTAGCCTAATCAACCATAGAGTTTGTACTATTATTGTCATATAACCTTAGGGATGATGTAGGGATACTTTGGGGGCATTGGATGAATGATTCGTATGAGTTTTTGGGTGGAAATCAGTTCTGGTGCGTAGCAGAAGTTGCTGTCATCGCACTGTTCGCCTAGCGAGCAAGCCAGCGAAGGTTCGCTACAAGACTCGCCTAGCGAGCAAGCCAGCGAGGGGCTCGCTACGAGAATCGCCTAGTGAGCAAGCCAACGAACGTAACAGAGTTCGCGAAACTAATTGTTGTGTAGCGATGCCGTGATGTGTGAATTCTGGGATGAGTTGCCATGAGTATGACAATGGGTTCTGGGTGATATGTGCATTATGTTATTCATGCGCATTCGATTGCTTTGGCTTCAATCCCACTGTGTGGATGTGAAGTATTTTGACGTGCTCCAATCCTATTGATGGGGATCTATGGAGGGTTGATGGCTCAGTGTCCATCGAGTTGTGATGATTGGTACCACATGCATTGAGTTGTGTGCATTGCATTTATGAGTCTTTGTGTATAAATTATGATGTTGTGACCTTTGAGGCATATGTGAGTAATATGAATGTGTTGAATATGAATATGTTGCCGTTTATGCATTAATTGTCATACATTGATTATTATGAATTGTTTTACTCACCCTGCCTGTTTGAATGTTACCTCCACGTAGGTAACGTGCAGATGATCCAATTTAGCCGTGGACGCTGGCGAGGAGTTAGTTTTAAAGTTTTTGAGTGTTTTAGTCTTTTGGTCAGCTTAAAGGGTCTTGCTATGATATGTAACATCGGGTTGGGTTCTTTGAGTTGATTTTATACTATTGATGTTATTTTGATTCATTCCCTCTTTGAGGAAGACTTTGAAGTATGTTTTGAATTCCGCTGTTTATGATGCTTTGATGTATTTTTAGGAAAAACTCGTAGTTACGGAGTATGGATCCTATTTTGATGAATTTGAGAATGTACGCCCTTTTATGGAATTTTAATGAGATTTATTTATTCACTCTGATTTATGTGTTATTTTGCCTTGATATTTTTTGGGTATAAAAAGGGTGTTACATTAGTGGTATCAGAGCAGGTCGGTCCGTCCGGCCAAGTGTTTATGTTGTTAATCCCCTGTCAGTCAATAGTGTGAGAACATTGTCGATGAGTTGTTTCCTTCTAACCTTGTTGGTGGTTGTAGATGGCAGGAAGGAACGATCATGCTATTGCTGATGCGCTGGAGTCACTTGCCCAAGTGATGGCTCAGAATGGTGGACCCCTAGATGAGTTCCGTGCTTTGGGAATGTTTCAGAGGAACAATCTGCCGACTTTTGTGGGTACTCATGATCCTGAGGGTGTGCAGAAGTGGCTGAAGGTGATTGAGAAGATTTTCCGAGTTATGGCATGCACTGATGCGCAGCAGGTACAGTTTTGTATGCATATGCTGGCAGAAGAGGCTGAGGACTGGTGGGATAACACTCGTCAGAGATTGGGAGGTGCTGGCATTGCGATAACTTGGACTGTGTTTAAAGAAGAGTTTCTGAGAAAGTATTTTCCTGAAGATGTTCAGGGGAAGAAAGAGGTGGAGTTCCTTGAGCTGAAACAAGGTGATATGACTGTGGCTGAGTATGCGGTAAAGTTTGAGTCGTTAGTTAAGTTTTGTCCGCATTACAACCGTGCTGATGCAGAGATGTCGAAGTATCCCAAGTTTGAGAATGGTTTGAGACTAGAGATTAAGCAGAGAATTGGGTATCAGCAGATTCGTCGATTTTCGGAACTAGTGAACAAGAGCAGGATTTATGATGAAGAAAGCCGAGCTCGATCTACTCACTACAAGCAGCTGAGTGAGAAGAAAGAGAAAGGTCAGTTTAGAGGAAAACCGTATGTGACTTATGGTGATAAAGGGAAGCAGAAAGCTTCTGATGGGAATAAGCCAAGTGGGGGAGCAGCTACTGCTCCAGGTAAGTGTTATAAGTGTGGCGAGCAAGGCCACCGTGCTGAGAATTATAAAGCGCTGAGGTGTCATCATTGTGGCATGAGGGGTCATAAGGCTAATGACTGCAAAGACGAAGCTCCGACTTGCTTCAACTGTGGAGAGAAGGGGCATATTAGTACCCAGTGTCAGCAGTCGAAGAAGACTGCTACTGCTGCTCAAACAAGTGGCAGAGTGTTTGCTTTGAGCGGTGCAGAAGAAGCTAAGACGGATAACTTAATCAAAGGTACGTGTTTTGTTAATGATGTTGAATTGATTGCTATCATTGATACTGGTGCTACACATTCATTTATTTCGCTTGAATGTGCTAAGAGGTTGAATTTGAATGTGTTTGCTATGAGTGGGAGTATGGTTATTGATACCCCGACTAATGGTTCTGTCACTACTGCGTTAGTCTGTTTGAGTTGTCCTGTGACTATTTATGATAGGAACTTTGTGATGGACTTGGTCTGTCTACCTTTGAATCAAATTGATGTTATCCTTGGGATGAACTGGTTGGAGTACAACTATGTTCACATTGATTGTTATAGTAAGACTGTGAAATTTCCTGAGTCGGGCGATGTGGGAGAGCTAATGTTTGTATCTACCAAGCAAGTGGAAGAACTCTTAGAAGATGAGGCTAAGATGTTTGTTGTGTTTAATTCGCTCCAAGTGGATGGTGAAGCAGTGGGCGTGGAGCTACCGGTTGTTCGGGAATTTCCTGAGGTGTTTCCAAACGACATGAATGACTTACCTCCTGAGCGTGAGGTAGAGTTTGTTATTGAGGTGATACCGGGCACTAGTCCTGTATCGATGGCTCCTTATTGGATGTCTGCATCTGAGTTAGAGGAATTGAAGAAA